AAACTGCTTAGATGTGGAGCCTTGCTGCGGCTGGGTTTCTCCATAGTAAATTACCTATTGCTGGGTCCTGAAAACCACATCCTAAATTATCAAGCAAAGAACTCATCATCTAGCAACAACCAGATAATCCTGTTATCAACGAGTCTCACCTCCGTTGTTTTTGGGGGAAATCTATTTTGTATCCAGGCAACTAGGATCAACTGTGGGTGACAGTCCTGGCCGGGGGGGCAGGATTCTCCCTGGTGTCCTCAAACATTTTGACTCTCAGCACCTGGTTCAGACATCCTGGAATTGCTTAACTCTTCCTGTCTAAAAATCCCCCTTTCCAGTATGTAAAGTATGATGCAAATGAAGTCCGACATGGATTTCGAAAATTTCCAGTTCTTACGACTTCATACTCCTTTCAGAGCTCTTTCTTCCAACTTTTAAACCGTAGAACCAAGTCTTGGGAAATGCTCTATTTTGAAAATATTAGGTATTCTCCAGTGTGCTTTTCCCCTAAGTGAGTTAAATTTGTCAGATTCATTCATTCCACAATATTTAGTGAGCTGCTATTATGTACAGGCACTATTCTAGGTTCTGTAGAGATGGTGAACAAACGAGACAAAAACTTCTGCCCTCATGAAGTTTAATTTACATTCTAGTTGGGAGGAGACAGACAACAAACCGTGAGCATAATAAATGTGCAAAAAATAGGGTATGTTAGCAGCTGGTAAACGCTATGAAAAAGATGGGTGTCGTCAGGGAAATTGGGAATGTTAGGGTAAAGGGCTATAATTTTAAATGGGGTGATCTACGTAAGCTCATTGAATCAGCAAATTTACCCATAATTTGGGTTGTGTTTGTCTCTGTAACATTTTAAGGATTATAAAACAATATTTAGAGCAGGTATTTTTAATTACCATTTTGCAGATTAAGTAACAAAGGCTTAATTAAGGAGGTTAAGCTAACATGGCCAGGGTAACAAAGCTAGAAAGTAGAGCTGAGCCTCAAATTAGATCTTCTGACTATAAAACCAGTAATCTTTCCACTCCAGTGCACTGCCATTCACTCGTATGAAAGATAATATGGTAACTGCCTCTGAAGTGAGCAGTGTGCCCTCACTCACCTCGAGGCATAATCTGTATAAATAATAGGAATTGTGTGTGCCTTGTCTACTTCAACCTGGCATTTAGCTGTTTGTTTTGATTTGTAGAGATTTTCTTTAGATGCTGTTCCTTGCTGATTATTTTTCAGATCACATTTTATTTTGTTTACTGTTGTTGCTGTTGATGTTGGAGGATATAAAAAAAGATTTAAAATGTTTTTCTATGTATGGGTATGGAAAGGCTTATAAATGCATTGAAAATATTCTTGTCTGTTACGTATGAACTTTGGTAACCTGATTCGTAAGTAAATAGTGGGTATTATCTCAAATAGTTTATTTATATATTTTCCCTAGGTTTTGCTATTTCCCCATTTTTAATAATGTGAGATAAATACAAAATAAAAATGTATGTAGTTTAAAAGAATATCTGTGAGGCAAACTACCAAGTAGCCAGCATTTAAGCCCTGGAAGGCCTCTTTCCCCTCCCCAACCAAAACGTCTTCCTTGCTTCCAAAAGTTAACCACTATCTTGACTATAGAGATAATTCCTTTGGCTTTTTTTTTCTTTTTTAAGTTTTATTATCTTTATGGGCAAATATGCGTTCCTAAAACTATGGTTTTGATTTGCCAGTTTTTGAACTTTATGTGAATGAAAGTGTGTTGTGCATATTTTTATGTGACATCTTTCTTTTGATCAAGATTATGTTAGTACATCAGCTGTGTTATGTTTAACTATTGTTATTCATTTTCATTATGGTAGACGATTCCATTGTATTACTTTACCATGATTTATTTGTCAATTCTCCTATTGATAACAATTTGGGATATTTGCACTTTTCTCTTGTTGGTCTTTTATGGACAATGTTGCTATCCAGGAATGAAATTGCTGGATTATAGGGTATGTACATCAATACATTTATTATGGGATGCCAAAGGGTTTTCACAAGGGAGTGTAACCATTTACACTCTCGCTAGCGCTGTGTAAGAGTTCTCGTTGCTCCACATCGTTACCTGCAGTTCAGGCTAAAGTTTTTGTAAACCAGGTGGGTGTGTAATGATAATTATTGTGCTTTGATTTGCATTTCCCTGACTACCGATGAGGTTAAGCAACTTTTCATAAAGTTTACTAGCAATTTGGACTAACCTCTTTTGTGAAGCATCTATTTTGTCCTTTTTTCTATTGCTTTATGGGAGTTCTTCATATATTCTGGACAGCAGTCCTTTGTATTATAAAGATCTCTTTCCACTCTGTGGCTTGTCTTTTCACTTTCTCTACAGTGTTGATGAACAGGAATTTTAAATTTTACTATAGACAAATTTATCAACCTTTTCCTTTATGGTTTGCTGTTTTTCTATTATATTTTTTAAAATCAATCCTTTCCATCCACCCATTCTATATTATCTTCTAAAGTTTAATAATTTTGCCTTTCACAAACTGTCTTTAATCTACCTGGAATTGATTTTTGTGTGTAGTATGAGAGAAGGGTCCAATTTCATGGGGCTTTTATTTGGCATATTAATAGCCAATTATCATGACACTATTATTGAAAAGTCTATAGCACTCTTATTTGATCTGCAGTACCTCCTTTGTCATATCTCAGGTTTCATTTGTGTGTGTGTATCAGGTTAAAGAAGTCCTCCTCAATCTCTGGTTTTCTAAAGGTTTTAATCATAAATGATAAAATGTTGAATTTTAAAATGTTGAGTTTTTTCATTTTTTTCTGCATTTATTAATATTTGTATAATGATATTTTTTTTACCTCCATTCATTGGTTAATGTGGTGAATTGCATTAATTTATTTTCAAATATTAAATCAGCCTTGCATAGGATAAATTCAGTTTGGTTGTGATGTATTATACATTTAATATTTTACTGGATTTTGTTTGTTAATAATTTGTTTAGTGTTTTTTTTACATTTATTTTTATTCATAAGATGGGTCTATAATTTTTTTTCAGGTTTCCATTTTTGGATTTTGAGCCCAGACTTATTCTAGCCTCTCTCATTATATGAGTCAGATATACTTACTCTTATTTTATACTGCAAGTAATATGTGTAAGATTATAACTATTTGTTGTTTAAATATTTGGTAGAATATAGAATATTTACTTTCTTCTGTTTTCATTATTTTCCTTCCTCTACTTTGTCTTTATTTTTCTGTCTTTTCCAACTTCTTGACATGGATGCTTAGCTGAAGAGGCCTTTCTTCTTTTCTAATAGATGCATTTAAGACTATAAGTGCGCCTCTTAGTGCTGCTTTAGCTGCATCCTGCCTGCTTTTGTATGAAATATTTAATTTCCATTCAATTACAAATATTTTCTTTCTATTATGCTTTCTTCTTTAATTCACAGGTTATTCAGAGGCATGTTCTCTCAGTTTTCAGGTAGTGGAGGTATACACCAATTTCTTTAATACAGGGTTTCTCAATCTTGACACTACTGACATTTGGGGCCACATCATTTCTTACTGTTGTGGGGCTTCCTGTGCACTGTAGGATGTTTGGCAACAATTTATTTCTAAAAATAAGCAGACTTTTTCTTATGTTAGGTCATTAATGTGGAAGATTGGGTCAGTCTAGTCAGTAGTTGAGCTGGGTTTGTTTTCTGTAATTACTATAGTTACCGTCCATGCACCACCGACTTCAAATTTCTTTATTGATGAGCTCCTGCTACCTTGCGCTTAGTGTGAAGTCTGGAGTTCTATAAGCCTTCATCGTGGAAGGCTTAACTCTCTGTGCTCTTGCTCCTCTTCTCACAGTAGGCTGCAGATGTTTGTTACTTGATGTGAGGCACAGGGTGGCGTTTGGGATTTTTTCGCACTACTCTCAACCTGAGGCAGTCCCGATGCACTTGGTCCTCAGAGCTGAGGCTTTCTCAATGCTCTTTCCCCTCCCCCTATTGGCAGTGAAACTCTGCCACATTGGGCTTGAGCAGGAAGATTTTCCTCCATTCCTCCAGCAGCTGACAGCGTCTGCTTCCACTTTTCCTGTAGTGGCAACAGATCTCTCTCTGGGATCAGGTAGCAAGTGTGTTTTCTGCCCCACCCCAAGCATCCTTTGCTTCATATGAGAGAGGGATTCGGAAATAAATGGGACTCCTTGCCTGTGTGCCACCAAGGTTGGCTAACTCAAGTCTTCTGCCCTACCTCTGTCTCACAAGCACCCGGTGGAGGCTTACAGAAATAGCAGGCAAGTGGATGTGGGCTCCCCTTGTGTCTAAGACCCCCAGGTATGATTCTAAATGGTTATGCTAGCCCACGCTCAGCATTTAGAATTGGAAGATTTCATTTGTGTTTTTCCTACTTGCTTTTATGGCCACTCCCTCTTCCTCCCATACTCTGTCAAAGGAAAAAGAGTTTGTGTGTCCTGTGTCGCCTTGGGAGGGCTTACCACCCTTTGGAATTAATTTTACCTCTTGGAATCAACTCATCTTCCTCCGAATATATGAGAGGATAACCTTTTGTAGGTTAAAAGATGACTTTCTTGAGTATTTTTTTAGTGCTGGATACCAATTTCTTTAGTAACCTAGAAGAAAAGTAGACAAAAGAAGAAAAATAGACAAAAGTCTTGTCTATTTGAATAAATCTAGCTTATTTTCCCTCTCTTTAAGGTAATAAACATGACACATCTTGTTGCCTAGTTTTGTATCTTTGTTGTGATAGTAATTTTGAAAAATTACTAACTTTGGTTGGGTTTCGGACCGGACAGTGACTCAGATTTGGAAAAATAATAAGTCTTTTATAACCATGATTTTATGCCTTTTGAATATCTACCTCAACATTAAATAAATCATTATTTCAGAAGAACTCTATTTTGTTTTATTGGCCCAGGATGTGACATAGAGAAGCTTGTATTTGGTTGAATTTATGCAAGTTGTTTAAAATATGAGATCTACTTTGTTTTTCCTATTTTCAGGTATTGGTGGTAATTTGGTGGCCATCCAGGCTAGCAGGATTTCTACATACCTCCATTTGCATAGTATTCCAGGAGAACTGCCTGATGAACCCAAAGGTTGTTACTACCCATGTAGAACTTTTTTTGGTCCAGGTACGTGCTTGTGGATTTTTGCATATTTTATTTCAGGAACTATTACTCTCTGTGAGTATAGGCAGGCAACATTTGTTGAATAATATATTCTGTTTGTGAGTGTTGCACAACTTTTCTATCTCTGAGCACTAAATAGATTTTAAATAGAATAGATTTTGTTCATTAAATTGCAGTGAGCAAAATGTCATTTGTATCAGTTCTGTAGTTGCTGAGAAACTTTGTGTACTTTTTCTCTTTTGTCCCTTTCTCTGGAATATCTTGTTTACGAGTCAGGAAAGAGGAACCTCATGGGCACAAGAAAGCATTGCTAGGTGATTTAGGGGGACAGATGTACTGTCTTTCCTATATTAATCTTTTGGCCTTTCTAAATGTAGGCATTTGATCCCAAACAAACAGGATGAGAGGCTTGATAACCTCAGTTACCAAGAGCAGTGCATTGTTTAGGTCAACCAGGCATGTGATTACCAACAAACTAAAACAACAATTCTAAACCTCACAATTCTTGCCATTTTTTTTCCTGATGAAAACAAATGTAATTTTTAATTTTCAAATGAGGATCAGAAATGCCCAACCTTGTCATATCAGAAAGAACTGTAGAGAAAAAGTAAAAATAAAACATTTCAGTGCTTTAAGAACTTGATACTTTTTCTGTTGTCTTCATCTGTTTTTTTGTGATAGATGTTAAAGTCTGACCAGTGTTTCTCATAGTAAATTTTTATCAACCACCTTTTATTTAATTAACATATGATATATAGTGAGAATTTCAAAGAACTAAGTGAATTGTAAATAATTGAAATTTATTTTAACTATGGTAATTGTAAATCGTTGAAATTTATTAGCAATGGAATTTTATGTGATGCTATGCAGTATGGTAACTAGAAAGTTACCATAAATTATCAAATTTTAATAACTGTGACCTATTATTAAGCAAAGTATGATTTTGTTTGAACAACTTTTACATTTTCTATTACAGGAGTAAATAATAAGTCTGCTCAAGTTCTACTGCTTTTAGTGATTCCTGGACATTTGATTTTCCTCTACACTATTCATTTGATGAAAAGTGGTCACACTTCTCTAACTGTAATCTTCATAGTAGTATTCTTATTTGCTGCTGTGTTACAGGTAAGAGTTAAAACCTCTTGCAATCTCTTTTATGGTCAGATTGATGTAAAAGTATAACTATGTAAATCTAAAGGCACATGAAATATTTTAACACTTAAAAAATCAGCTGAGTGCCTTTGTATTGATTTGATCTTCTTAAAACCAGTAACTCAGGACCAGTTTTAATATGATCCAATGAATATAGAACCTTTGGATTTCCTGTTTCCTGGAATCCATGTCTTCCTCTTTTTCATTCTCATGTTTTGTATGAATACATCTTCTGATAGATCCCTGAGAAAGAGTACATAGAAGTAAATATTTTGAGCCTTTGCATGTTGTAAAATATAAAGTGCTTTTTAAAAAAATATGGATATGTTGACTAGACACAGAATGCTGTTTCCTTTAGAATTTTGAAGGCATTGCTTCCTTGCCTTTTAACTTCTATTATCATTGAGAAGAATGACAGATGACATTCTCACTGCTGATTTCATTGTACAAAACTACTTTTAACTCCCTGGAAGCTTACAAGATATCTTTTCCCCTATTGTTCTTAAATTTCATGTTGATGTGCCCTGGTTTGGGTGCATTTTGTCTGTTTTGTTGGACATTATTTGACTCTTTCTATCTAAAAATTCATGTTCTTCAGTTCTAGGAAAAATTTTAAAATTATTTCTTTGGTGATTGACTCTCTTCCTTCTTTCTGTAATCTTATTATTTGGTTCCTGGAACTCTTGCATTAAACTACTTATCTTTCTTAGTCTCTATTTCTTTCTCTCTTTTTTTAAGATTTTTATTGAGGCATTGGGGAGGGGAACAGTGTTGGAGAATTGGGGAAGAGGAACAGCCAAGTTGCTGTCCTTCAATCTTAGTTGTGGAGGGTGCAGCAAGCTCAGCTCCAAGTCCAGTCACGCTGCTCAGCTCAAGGTGCTGTGTTCAATTAGTTGTGGGTGGGCATAGCCACCATCCCATGCAGGAGTCGAACCAGCAGTCTCGTTGTTAACAGCGCGCGCTCTATCTCCTGAGCCACCCGGGTGGCATCTCAGTTCAAGGTGCCGAGTTCAGTCTTTAGTTGCAGACAGGCATAGCACATCATTCAAACCGGCAGCCTTGTTGTTAGGAGCATGTGCTCTCACCAGCTGAGCCATCCTGCCACCTGTTGGCAGCTCATAGGCAGCTCAGCTCTGGCACAGCTCACTGGCCCATGTGGGAATCGAACTGGCGACCCTGTTGCTCAGAGCTCGCACTATTGGGCAAGCTCTTAACTAACTGAGCCACTCGGCTGGCCCTCTGTATTTTTTTATGGGAGATTTCTGTGCCTTTCTAGATCTTTTCTCTGTTGTGTTAGTGAGTTTTTTGGAGAGCAGAGTTGAATGCGTATGCTCAACTTGCCATCTTTATGTGGAAGGCTATTAATTTTGAAATTTAAGACAATTGCCTTTATTTTTAAAATGCATGATCAATATATAATACATGTACAAAATTTTTAAATTAAATAATACTAAAGGGTCTTACCTTTCAAACATTTCTCAGAGACAGTTACTTTGAAGTATTTAAGTTATTTCTTCTGAGGTTTTTATCTATAAGTTTTAAAGTAATATGCCTAAATTTCTAGTTTATGATTACTGTCCTTTATTTAGATTTTTGCTGATAAAAGTTGAGGATTTGGAGGCTGTTCTAATGCCCCATCTTTTCCGTATATAAGTTTCTGTTAAATTAGTAGTCAGTGTTTCTATTATTAGGCCTATCTAAACGTTGTTTACTATAAAGCCAGATAATAGACTATGATTATATTTGCTTTTTGTGTGTTTTTATTTTTCTTGGGGTTAATAATCACATTTTTTCATTTGCATCATTTTTCATAAACCCATCTTTAATTTTTTCTAATTCTTTCCAGCTTTATTTTGGCTTTTTTTTTTTAAGATTTTTATTGGGGAATTGGGGGGTGGGAACAGCGCTGGGGAATTGGGGGAAGGGGAACAGACAAGTGCTATCCTTTTGTTCTTCAGTCTAGTTGTGGAGGACATTGCTTCACTGGCCCAAGTTGGCACCATCATTGCGCTCTTCCCAGGCAAGGCAGATCGGTCGCCGGCTTCTGGATGGCCGCTCACAGCGGCTGCTGGCTACATACGGTAGCCCATGGCAACCCACTGCAACAGGGGCTGCAGCCTACGCAGTTGCCGGCGACTCACGGCAGCCCAGCTCCAGGTGGAGCTGTTGTTCAGCATCTTAGCTGTAGAGGGCAGTGTCACTGGCTCTCATATGTGGGATCCGAACCGGGGCTCTCTGGTGTCCCAAGCCAGCTCTTAACCAACACGCCACTCGGCCAGCCCTATTTTGGCTTCTTAGGGCATGACTTCCTGCTAAGCTCTGTAGGATTTAGTACCTCCTACATTGAGAAATTCTAACTCTTTAAGAGATGCATTCAAATAATTCTTTGAATAGATAACATTTGTATTTGGCCTTCAAGGAGTTTCACATATAGCAGTGAGGCTAGAGGATAGGTTTGGGAATATTATTCCCGGTGAAAGAAACTGCATTGATGAAAGAAATTGCATTGATGAAAATGTTAATAAAATTAACTGACATTTACAGTGTTTTCTGCATGACCAGTGCTGTTAAGTGCTTTACGTGTTTTGATTTAGTTAATTTCCACACTCTATGAGATTTGTCCTTTTGATGTAAATCAGTAGTTCTCAAAGCGAAGTACATGCAAAAAAAATGCATTGTGTATAGAAAGAAAAGATTGAAACTTCTATTTATATATTTTACCTCATTTGTTTAAAATGTCTGTTTTCTATTTTTATGATTACTTTGTAAAAAACAGTATATTAGCATAATGTTAAGTATGCTCAAATATTTTATACTGAAAGGGCTACATAGTCTAAGACTTTAGAGATTACAGAATAAAAGCATAGAGCTGAGAAAGCACAGAGCTTATGAGAGAACGAGAAAGTAATTCATACACTGGATCTAAGAGAAGGGAGTCCATGAGATAAGGTTAAAAAGGTAGATTAGGGACCATGTAGAAAGGTTTTAAATGCCAGGCAAGGGGTTTAGAACCTATTCTTAAAAATAACTAAAACCCTTATGATTTAATTAACATTTTAACTTTTCTATAATGCTTTATAGTGGCTGCGATTTCATTAAAAATTATCTGTAAATCATTTATTCATTCAATAAGCCTTCATTCCAGTAGATCCAGGGATGGGTTTTAAATCCCAGGATGAATGCATTCAGACCCTATACTTACAGACTCAATCTGGGGGGAAGACTATACTACATGAACAAATTAATATAATATAATATATAATTAATATAATATAATATATAATATAATATCGCTGGGGATAGCTACATGTAATTTGCTGTCAGAGCTTGGAAGAAAAAGCAACTAACTCTACCTGGGAGTTAATATTTTTCTACTCTTCAGCAGGGACGAAGTTATTTCACATGCTGTTTTACTGCTGACTACCTCTGTTGCTATATATGACATGGTCATTTATTATCATTTATGTTCTAAGCATTGTGTATGTATTATGAAAAAGATGCATTCCTTGACCCCAATGGGAAATATTCAGAGACCATTCTTTATAGTCTGTTGATAAACTTGCCATTTTAGAAAATGTGCCTATTTGTAACTCTACTTTTTTGCCTCATGGATGGATTTGACACTTATGTTTATGGTTCTGTGCCAACATACTGTCATGCGTCATTTCACTTAAGTCAGTGAAGGATATAAGTAATTTTTCTGAATTTATAAAAATATTAGATTTCAACCTATACTCACGGTATACCTGTATGTCTTTTTAAAATCTCTGACCTAAATTCTGACCAGTGAAGGTTGAATACTGGAAACTCTATGTTTTGACTGAATACCTGATAGTAAGGATTTCTAATGCATGTTTAATTTCTGTCCACCTAGACCTTCCTCCTTGAGGTTAGAGATCAAGACTTTTTCCCTTTGGTATTCCCCACAAGCCATGATATCGTTAGTGGTTGTTTTTTGAATTACTAGTATTTCATTCTCTTCCCAGACTAATTTCTTTGAAGAATCTTCCCCTTTACCCCCTAGTTTCCCAACCAACTAAATGAAGGAAATCTGTTTGAAGGAAACTTGATGTTGGATTTGTTATAATGACATCGTAACAATCATTTGCAGTACTTTCATATTTACCCAGATGTCATCTCTTCCTGGAAGCCTTCCTTAAATACCTGATTTGGTCTGATGCCCTTATTGTCTGTTCCCATAGTATCCTGTGAATACCATTATCCTAGCTTTTCCACATATATTGACATTATCTGTTTATGTGTCTGTCTCACCCATCCTAGAGAAAAGGTCTTTGTTCTACTGATTTTTGTATCTCTAGCACCTACCCCCACCCCTAGTGCTCAGTTGATGTGTGTTAAAGTGAATGACAATATCCTTCCAGCTCTGTCTGCTCCTTCAGTGGAAGGAGGAGAAAAGTTTACAACTATATTTAGGTCCCAGACTTTCCGGAAAAACAGAAAAATGTGAATTTCCTTCTGCTGGCTTTCAGTAAACAGCAGTTTCCTCTCTTTCACTGACAGGTATTTAAAATAAAAGGCAGTGATAAATAAAACATGACATCTCACAAATTCTATTAATGTTCAGTCAAAATTGTAAGGATTTACTGAAGCATTTGGAGATGAAATGATATCTAGGGAAAGTACAAGGTAGGGGTATAGATAAAGCCAAACAGGTCATGAGTTGATAACTGATGTAGCTGAGTGATGGTACATGTGAGTGGCGTGGGGCTAATTTGTACTATTCTGTCTACTTTTGTGTATGTTTGAGTTTTTCTATAAAAGGAGCTTTTAAAATTAAGGTTTTATTTCAGATGTTAATATGGGAGTTTTTCAGAGCATTCGAGCTTTCCAATTTTCATCCTGTAGCTGACTGATTCTTAGGTCAAGTGAAAAGCAGAGTCGACTAGAGTTTGAAATTGTTTGGGACTTGGAATGGTAGAGTCCGTGTCTTATTTGCACAAAGACTCCAGTTT